GAAGTCGTTCTTGAGGCCGTACCCTAGATGTTGTCCTCGAGGTCGTCCTAGAAGTTGTCCTCGAGGTCGTCCTAGAGGTCACCCTTGAGGTCGTCCTCTAGGCGCCATCCTTGAGGTCGTCCAAGAAGTCGTCCTTGAGGTCGTCCTAGATGTCCTCGAGGACGACCTCATTCGTAACCACGAGAACGATGTTAAGAAATAAATAACAACCCTGGGTAGTTATATATATGTCTGACCCTTTCATCGTTCAAATAAACAATTACACCATCACACCTTGATCCTTACATTTATAAATACTTCGTTTCCACCATAGTATGGCTTCGCTGGTCAATCCCTTCTTCACCAGAGTGGAAAAGCTGAAAGATTTTTTTTATTACTTCCTCGACTGAGCGGGGGGGGGGGGGGGGGGGGGGAATTGGCACGAGTCGTGCCCAATCTTTGCCCCGCGCTCAATCGAGAAATAAATAAAGAATCCAGTGGACATGCCTTGCGTTCGTAAACACAAAACTCAAGGTTCAATCCCCACCCTGCCCGTTTCGATCTGGAGGAGCATCGTACCGGCCACACTGACTAAATTGCTCACTTACAGCTGAGAGACAAGTGCCCTCTAAGGCAAGGCAGACTAACTTACGGCTGTATAACCATACACGCACCAATTTTATTCAAAACTCTGGGGAAAACAAGTAGGGTGCCCACATGTCTGTCTGTCTGTCTCAGGGTGAAGAGATTCATTGTTGCCTTGAATGTGCCAGCGTGTGACGCTCGACTTGTGCGGTAAAATGGCGTCTATGTATTAGCCAAAGCTACGCGCTCGAGCTGAGAAAAATATTTATTGTAACACGCCTAGTCCGGCGCTCCAATATATTTCTACCACTCTTCCCCAAGCACGTTGTGGACGTGCTGAATCAGAAGTGGCAGAGGTTGGTGATATTTAGGTGGTGTGATCCAGCTCTCCCAGGAGTTTGGGTGTAGTTCGGGGGGCAGTTGCTGTAAAGTGGCAGATATGAGTGGTTTCGTGTGCGGGCAATCCCACATCATGTGTATGTTAGAAGGGTGGCTTCCGCAGTGGGGACAGTAGGAGCGTCCAGGGAGCCATTTTATGTTGCCACTCCAAAGACGCCAATGCTGTCCGCTTGACGCATCTAGAAAGCTTCCCATTTCCCCGCTCTTCTTGTTTTTTGCATGTTTAGGAAAACAATCCTCACTTCTCTTCGCTTTTTCTTTGCTCTCCTATTTCGTCCTTTTGCTTTCAGGCCCCCCCCCCCCCCCCCCCCCCCCCACCCTGTGTTTCCTCCTTTCACTAGGCGTCTCTTGCTGAGTGATGCCGAATTGCGCGCACTTAAATATTCATAAAAAAAAAAAAAAAAAAAAAAAAAACGATCGGGCGGGAAAATGGTTGAGATGCCACCTCTCAAGCAAAAGCGCGCGTATGTATGAAGGCACTCTAAAGACAAGCTGGACATAGCGCCCCCTATAGTTCGACCTCCTCGCGAATAGCGGTGTTCAACGACGACCTATTTGTTCCCAGGGAATCGGGATTTCGTTTTCTCAAAAGTTGTCTGTCGGCTTGACGAGTCAAAGCTTGATCTGTGGAAGCTTCTTGCAGATACTTTGAAACAACATACCCAAAGTCTATCAACTTCCTCGCTGCGAAAATTCAACGTGTTCTATTTTCAAGTTGATCGCAAAAATATCAAAACGAGTAAAAGTGAAATTGTTTTTTGTTTTTTTTTAATGCGTATGCGACATGAGCTTTCTTCCAAAGTTCGATTGCTAACCGCGCGAGACTACGTACATGCGTTCCCGGTCGTCAATAGACAAAGGCACTTGGGTACATACGCCTATTTTCTGTGATTTCATGTTAAGCTCTCAACTAGGAGCCTATGATTAAAATGATTCTTATACTCTAAACGGCTTATTTTTCGCGGGCTTGATATTTCGCGTTTTATGCCAAAGGAATAATTCGCGGGTTCTAATTTTCGCAACGCGGTGGGATCTCAATATAGATTCCAATGTGATTAACATTTTACCGGAATTGTTCGCGGGACCTATTTTTCGCGAATTGTAGGCGATTCACAAAATTCGAGAAAATTAGATGCTCGCGAAAATAGAGTCACTTACAGTATTTCATTTCATTTATTTTTCTTTTACGGCCTGAAGGCATTACAAAGAGGAGTATGGTATTGTGCAATAAATATAAAACAACAAAAAAAAAAATGAAAAGGAAAATATACAAAAACTGCTACGAAATATCGTGTAACAGATTAGTATGACCACAATTCTAAAATTATCTGCGGGTCACGGATTCCAATCAATGGTGGTTTTGGACAAGAAAGAGGCACTCAAAATAGACGTGCTGCAACCGGGAATTCTAATCTTCAAGGGAATGAGCGGTGCGTGATGATGTGTAAGATGGTTTCGAAAGAAAAAAAGAAAGCGCTGGGCGAAGTGTTGGGTTAGAGTGATCACCTATATGGAACGTATGATAGCTATAGCGATTACACAAGCACTAGCGTTTCAGCGATGAACACAATGCACTTAGACAAATATATTTAAGTTCTTGTCTACCGAGGGCGTTCGGTTTCAGCGTGCTCAAGTATCGAACACAACAGATGAAGTTTGTTGTCAGTAGGTTCTCTACAGTAATGTCCAACGCACGCACGCACGCACGCACGCAAGCACGCACGCACGCACGCACGCACGCACGCACGCACGCACGCACGCACGCACGCACACGCACACGCACACGCACACACACACACGTCTCATGAATGACAAGGCGAAAGCGAATGCAAGTAAGAACGCGATGCCTGTGAAGAAGGGATTCCTTAGTTTCCCATCAACAAAGGAGCGCGCTCAACTAAAACACCGTCTTTCCTTCATCACAAGCACCGTAGATGACAAAAAGCAAAATAAATAAATAAAAGTAATTTAAGTCACGAAATATCACGCCTTTCGGCTGTCCTAGATGCGCGAGACCGTAAACCATTCTGTCGACGTTACATCACCAGAAGGAGCTTGTCCAAGCCGGAACTGGGCTAAAGTGAAACTAGCAGAAAACGTACACACCGCTCGTGAAGATGGGACGCGTGGAGATAAAAATAGTATATGGTGGCATCCAACGCTCTTATCGCATGCAATCACGGCGTCATAAAAGAGCAAGCGTTCGCCTTGGTCTTTTTATTATTATTATTATTATTATTTATGACAGTTGCAGCAACTCTGCACACGCGTAATTGCAATAACTGCGCGTAACCAACGTCCATGTCGCGAAGAGAAAATTCATCAAGGCGCGCGTCCCCGTTTATTATTAAATTAATTTTCTTACCTGTCAACGACGGAAGTGCCGCATGTCCGTGGTCACTTTTGGTCCTGACGAACGAGGAGCAGACGAAATCGAAACCAACTAAGTAGCAGACGATCCCTCCGAAACGCTGCGCGTTCTTTTTTACAGGTTCACGCACACCACGAATAGCAGACGACGCCGGTTCTTATCGCCGATTCGAGTGGAAATCGACTCAAATCACTGCAGGATTGAGCACGGTCGGTTGCACAAGGACGAGTGCGGGCAATATTATACCCCTCGGTTTATTTGCCGCCGATCGCGGGAGGCAATCGAGTGGTGCAACGGGCGCGGCGGTCCGAAGAGCGGCGTGCGAATGGACGACTGGAAATACGGCGCGGAAGTAGACGCCGACAGCGCCACTGCTTCTCGTATGCTCATTTTCGATCGTATGTGCGAGTTAAACTCAGAAATGGAAAGTTTCAAATCAAACAGCCAACCTCAACGTATTTTATCAAACGCTCAATGACAGAAATTGGATAAAAGCAGTGTATTAAGCTAGAAACCTCAAAAATCGACGAAATGTGTTCGCTAAACCTCAAACCAACTCGAATCAGAAGGATGGTCACGCCATCTGGCCCTCGTAGTGAGAAACCAAGAAGTATGCAGGATTGGTTTGGTTTGTGCGGTGATATACTTGCTTAGGATTATGTTCAATGCAAACTTTTGTAAGCACAAAACCCTAGAATTTACTGTTATTATTATTTTTTTTTCACACCAACGTAGAAGGCTAAACACTGGAGTCTTGATAGCTGAGTCAGTCGCAACCATTGAGATCAGTGGTCGCAACGGTCGAAACCCCCGAACGAGCGTAGGCGTGAAGAGGAGCTCATTTTTCCCCCGACTATTTTTCAACATTCGCGCTATTCACAAAAATAAAATAAAAAAAAATAAAAGCACCACAGTCTGAAATCAATTTGTAGGAAACCCGTTAAAAGGCTTCGCACCCCTTCATCATATCTAATAAATGCAACAAGAAGTCCATATCACAATGAGAACTACAGTTTGTCGCCCTTAGAGACCGACGACCAGTTCGCGTTTTCCACTTTCCCGCCGCTTCCTCTTCCCCTCCCTTCTACCTGTCCGACCTGTCCACCGTTGCCTGTTTCCTCCTCAAGGAAACAGGCAACGGTGGACAGCGTGGACAGGGTAGAAAGGGGCGAAGAGGAAGCGACACAAACAAAAACCGTAGCGCTCATTAGCTATGAGTGTAAACCTCTCGTGGAATTATGACGCGGAATTTAATTCTAAACTTCTTTTTTACTTCCAAGTTTAATTTTATGGGGGAAAGTTTGTACAGCGAGGAGTTAGTCTCAGAGACACTGATATCCCTAAAATAGGCACCACTCAAACATTGTTTCACTCATGGTAATGAAATACCTGAGACTGTGGTGCGGGATAATGAGGAAACATTGAAGTCCAAGAAAAAGACGACGCTAGGAGTACGTCTCGCGTTTCTTACTGTTGCCTTTGAGTGAAAGTGAAACTGATACCGAAACTGATACATATGATCAATCTATTAATTTTATACGCAAGAAAAAATATTTTATTTAGGAAATAAGTAGACAGAAACACGGCAAATGCTCCAAAGCATGTTCAAAGTAGCCCAAGTAGCCACGCGGAATTTCCTGATATCGTCGCTGCATGGCACCACCACGAGTGTCGCCTCGGAAGCCGCATCAGCTGCATCGTCGTTTGTCAACTGTAGAAATGTGCCACGCACGCCGTTTAGCAACGTGCTGCCGCAAAACACGACGTCCTGGGTCATCCAGTTGACAGATAAATCACGGAAATCTCCCGGAAGCACTCTTCGCAACAGACCGACACTGTCAATATGGTAAGTGAGTACACTGGTGCCATGAACGGCTTGGCGATCGTAAAACAACGCCTGTTTTTTTCGTCGTCTGCGTTTTGCGTCGTCTGCATTTATTCACTTTGCACGCGTTTGCCTTTGCAGGCTTCGTTAATCCATACGGTGGACACGGCTCACAGTGACATGGTGGTTAGTTCCGCTTATTTGCGAGCGATTCTACGGCAAAGTCATTGTGCAAATGGATTCTCTCAGAAGGGAACTTGTGTGACGTGCCTCTCTTTTCCGTAGCACGACGCTCAGACCGACTACTACGGTACCCGGTTGGCGACGTGTTCGTCGGACAAGTCCGTCAAAGTCTTCGACATCAAGAACGGGACGCATAAACTACTGTCCGTGCTGTCGGGGTAAGCTGGAGTCAACGATACACGACTACGAAAGCGTCTACGTGCTCAAGAGAACCGTTTCACAATTGGTTCGTTTCAGCTACACGATCGATACAGAAAGCATAGCTCGCTTGCAGATCGAGCTCTCATACAACAAAAATTTGGGGTGTAAGCAAGCTGGTGAATTAAACATGGTGACTTTACTTGGGACGACAGGACAACAAACGCAAAGCTCAAATCATTTTTGGAACAGACAACTAGTGTACTGCTAAGGGCAATTATATAAATAATAGAAATATACAAGAGATGTCTTGTATATGGAATACATCAAAAATAGAAGAAACAAAAATATAACTTATATTTGTACTGCATTGTTTGTTTTGTTTCTTAAACTAACAGAGTGTGAGTTGATAATGTTCTATTTTTGGTGCATTTCATATACAAGATATCTCTTGTTCAATACTTTCTACTAAATTACTAAGATCTAGGAGTTTGGTAATGAGTCTAGGCGACACATTATATAGGGTGGCTGAAGTTACCAGGCTTGATCTAAAATGAACCGTAAAAATCGGCGCCTGAACGAAGTAATCTAAACTTTTCGTCAAGGGTGTGTTTCAGGTTGGTTTTTTCTTGTAAAATTACAAAGCGTAGCTCCATTTCTGTAAAAATTAGGTCCAAAAAACTTGCCAGGGTCAATGGCAAACGGCGACGCAGGACCGAGTTGAGTTTCGTTTGGTGCACGTTTTGATAGATGGCGTCGAGAGCAGCGTCGGAAGGTGTAGCCGACCAGCGGGAGAAAGTAGACAACACACAGGCAAAATCTGTTGGCACCAAAAAGTGCCGTTGTTATCCAAACACTTTTTTTTTACTCTTAAGTCTTCATTTTATTGTCCGCATTTATTTTTTCACCAAAGGTGCATTAAAAAAATATTATGTTCATTTTAATAAACCATGGTGGTTGCGAGCAGTCTCAATAAGGAGATAGCGCCATCTATGAACACGAGCGCCAAACGTGCCGCGCCACTCGACTTGGTTGTCTGCGTTGCCTCCCACCATTGACCCTGGCAAGTTTCTTAGCTTAGTTTCCTATTGTTTTACAGAAAGGGAGCTACGCCTCTTAATTTTGCAAGAAAAAACCGACCTGTGAAATACACTTTCGACGAAAAGTTCAGATTGCTACTTGCAGGCGACGATTTTTTTGGCCCGTTTTAGGTCAAGCCTAGTGACTTCAGTGACCTTATATTTCATATCGCGAATTTGTCACTGAAATAAACCTATTGATTTATACATAAACGGCTCTCACAAAAGGCGCCAAGCACATAAATATTGATGTTGCTGAATTATAATAAGTTATTTTCATTGTTGTTTTTTTGGGGGGAGAATAAACTAAGGTTACGTTACATCCTGAATTTGGTGCCAATTTTATTGAATTTTTAGCTCTGGAATTTCAGTGACATGATCACTGACTTTGACCCAAAGGTAGCTGAGCAGTTCTGCATGCAAGGTTCAACTGAAAGTACCAATAAATATTTTTTGCTAAGAAATTGAATTCTGGTAAGAGGATTCCCTCCTCCCGAAATCTCTGTATCACAAAAAAAAGAGCCTTCATTTTATGGAGGGCAACCAGAGTGGGAACGTTTCAATGTCCAAACCAAAATGAGGTTGAGAATAACTGTTTGGCTTGGTTCCTTGTCGATTAATGTTCGCATCACTTGTCTCCCTAGACCATACCAGAATCATACCACAGTGTACTTCACTTATAACAACAATAACCCGAAACTTTAATCGTTATAGCCGATTACAGTTGTATCTGGACTAAAACTGACCGTCCTTAGTCCGGACGGAACTGGGGAAACATCCCCTTTTCTCCAGCATTCCGTCTGCTTCCTCCTTCCCCGGCCTTCCTTTCCCTTGCCCTACCTTCTTGAGTTGCAACGGACTGTAGTCTAGAAACTCTAGAAACTGATTGCGGGCTCTAATTATTGTCAGCTCACTACACCAAAGAAATTTGCATATACAATTGGCTTGTTCTCGTTTTCATAGACTTTTGCATATGTAGGTCAGAATTAAGCTAAGAGAATCTGAAGCCTGCATGTTTGTGTTATCAGACATGTCGCTGACCAAACACTCTCGCTTGTTCCCGAGGAGATAGGCCAGATATATGCCGATTGCTTTTGAAGGGCTGATACGTTATCAGCATGTTGTACTTAAATCAGCATAGATAGAACAGTTCTTCCTTCGAGTTGCCCGATTGTGGGTGGCTGATTTGATAAGGCCTATTTATGAACTTTGTATGAAAAAGACATTTTAATAATACTCTTTTACTGTCGTTTGTTCCGTGCAGGATTTTTAAGCGTGCTTACAGGATCTTTAACACAAAGATTTGAGATAATAGAACTATGAAGGATCATGAAAATGTCTAACTTTTTTCTACATTGTACAGTTCAGAGCGGGGTGAGTGGCAAGGTCAAATACTGTCTTTTCTTTTTATTATCCCACGAAATGGTTCTTGCTAAATATGAAGAGTATCCTCTTTGTTCGATGTTGCAAACTATATACACTTGTGTGCCCTCACTATGTGCAGGCTTGAATGGTAGAGCACAACGGTGTAGCATTTAGGTATAACACATCGGTATAGCACGATTGGAAGCGGGAGGTTGAGACGAATGCAAGTGCAGTTCCAGTTTGAACATGCGTCCACGATGGAAACCGTAAGACCAAAGAAACACGCAGTCTTTCTCCATCCGTCGATTCTTCCTATGCCGAGGAGGTGGCCTTCAACGCCTCGACCATTTCGGCCCAGCTCGTCAACGTGTAGCCGTTTCCAGACCGTTCGGGACAAGCGTAGCTCCACTGCTTTCCCCAGTTCACGCTCTCAGCTGTTTTGGACGAACCGGGCTCTCTTGTGGCTTAGTTTGCAACACTGCCAACAAATAACAGCACTGAATTCTTTTTTTTACACTCATTTCGTTTGTGGCTAGAAATTTGATTTTGAAGGCAACAAATTTCATTTCGAAGACAACAACTATGCATTTGAGGATCGGAAACTCCCGAAAAGTAAAACTGGTCAAGAAGTTAAAGCCGCAGACACACCGTCCAGACATCATACAAGAGACATAATGTTCACCGCAGACAACATGACAAAATTATTTACAGATGCACGTCGGTCATGTTCGGAGTGCATCTGCTTCATAAATATGTATGTTTCATACATCTCTGCGGGCTGTTATTGTAGGACCGTCGTACAAGGGTAGAAACACGCCTCATCTGCACTGTCTTCTGTACAATGTATGAACAGCGGCTTACGTTGTGAATGACAGGCTAGGAACCGAGCTGACACTCTGCCTGCAGTGCGAGCTGACAATCTGTGACGGCACGGCGTCGCACGTGCGGCCAAAGCAGGGCCTGAGGCATGGAGCTGGGGGCGGAGCATTTACCTGCTTCTTACCCTGTCGCCGACTGCGAATGAACCGGTGGAGATAAATGAACGAGCCGACGACGAGAGTCCTTTTTTCGCAGGCACGAGGGCCCGGTCTGGCAGGTGGCCTGGGCGCACCCCATGTTTGGGAGTGTGCTGGCGTCGTGCTCCTACGACCGCAAGGTGGTAGTCTGGGCGGAGACCGACGGCAGGTGGGACAAGTTCTACGAGTACGCCGACCACGACTCCTCGGGTCAGTATGCGCCAAGCAGTGATGTCTCGTTAACATAGACATCTCCCTTCCCCCGAGAAAGCGTCCATGACGCAGTCCGTAAGAAAGAAACAAAGATACCCGTATTTACTCAGTGTTGTCCTCGAAAATGCCGTCTATATAGCGGGGTAATCATATTTACAGGGTCCATATTAGTGAGACGTTACTTTATTATTATCTTTCTTTATTGATTTCTTTAGACTTTCAGTCAGCTTTTGTCGCTTGATGAGGATCCCACGGCTGTCCATATCACCGAGCAGTGAAGAGATGAAAAAGAGAAAGTATGTTGGGAAAATGTAAGCTTCAACAATTACAATCGCACGCAAAGGCTCGTCCACACACTTGCGTTTCCTTACGACCGAGTTCTTGCAATCTCTGACGACAAGAGTGCACAATGGCATGCTTGCGCTCTCTGAAGTGGCCCTGGAACTGCATTTCACCAGAGCAAAAGTTTTGCGGTTATTTACGGGCTCAAATGAACATACTATATATGAGAAATGGTAGTTTATTGGCAAATGTTTTTCGACCCCCCCCCCCCCCCCCCCCCCCCCCCCCGAGGAGGATACACGAAAAAGTGTGAAACGCATGGAAATCATGAGGGTTCCATGGCTGCTCGATAGATGGAGCCACAAGTCATGTAGTAGGGCTAGTTGGTGGTTTCTTGTTTGGTGGGAACAGCGCTGAAAGAATAAGACCGGGATGAGGAAACACACAGACAGGGCACCGACTTAAAAGTTTATTGCTGTGCAAAAACAGAAATAAACGTGGGAAGGGAAGAGAACGAAAAAAAGCAACCCAAAGCCGGCGACCTGTCTGTGTGTTTCCTCGTCCTGGTCCTACATCATTTAATGCTGTTCCCACCCAACAAGACAGAGCCAGCGTGCTTTTTCGTCGTAAGAGATTGCAAGAAGTTTTAAAGGGACACTGACAGGGTATTTATGCTCGCCAAGCTTTTTATTTGTTCATGACATTTGAGAGCCACTACCCAGAACACGATTTGCTGCTCGAAATTCGTTTTCTTTCTGCGCAAAAACCGCCGAGCGAGAATTGGCCGGTTTGAGTTGCGCTCACTCTCTTCTCTAAGGTCCTGTGCCGTTTTGTATCGTTTAGACACGGCCACCAAATATAATCAAAGTCAGGGGTCATCGAAGGCACACACTCAATACTAGAAATGAACAAAAAATATGATACCCTTTTTTGCTGTGCAAGTTTGTCTGCTTCTTTTGCGTTGCGAAGTGCAAGTTTGTCAGCTTCTTTTGCGAGGGGTTGCGTTGACGTCAGAGCACCAAGCTCTGATTGGCTCTGACTGAAGGATAGTGGGTAGACCTCAAAGCAAGCTGCCTTGAGGTCTACCCACTATCCTTCAGTCGGAGCCAATTGGAACTCGGCGTTTTAGGCTGCGTAGTAAAGTCTCCCCCCCCCATTACCCGTTCCTTGGCCACAGTGAACTCCATCTGCTGGGCGCCCCACGAGTTTGGCCTCGTGCTGGCGTGTGGGAGCTCGGACGGGGCTGTGTCCGTGCTGTCCATGGGTGGCGACGGCGTCTGGGAGGCCAAGAAGATCAGCAATGCACACACGGTCCGTGTCGGACTTTCCTTGTCCCCTCGCAGATTTGCGCAACTTGCATCTCCGTAACGCTTGTGCAATGTTCACTGACCGATTGGACGCTTTAGCTAGGGTTCCGTCTTTTGAGGGTTTATTTTTCTTCACATTCGGGGGTATTTTTCCGGAGTTTACTTTTTACTCATTTATTCATTTATTTATGTATCCCAAGGACCGCTTTCCTAGTATTATGGACCCTTTTCTGAGTATTGTACAAAAGGAAGGGAATAAATACAATTAAAATAAGCATTAAAAACATAACAAGAAGAACAAAGCACGTACAGGCATACAATTGAGATAACATAGCTACAGTCGTTATTACAATTTCGAGTCTCATTACAACGATTGATAGCAACAGTGAGCATCTCTCAAAATTTGGTGGTGTTAGTTTCTGTATACCAGTCTTATTTGGCGAGAGATATGGTGTTGGGTGTACGTATCCACCATGTGTTGAGTGTTTTTCTGTGTCAATATATTTGGTGTCGGACAAGAAAATCTGCATTTATCGGGGCTCACCGTGAAGAAGATGTAAGTGTAGAATTCCCCAGCCGTAAAAGTGCTTGTGCATGACCGGACTGCTTGGAAAATGTTCCCAACCACTGATAAGCGAACGAGATAAAGAGTGTAGTTCTTGAAGAATCAACCTCGCATACAGTTCAGTGCAGGCTGTGTTCCCTGTCAACAGAACACAAATCTGTAGATCAAATGGATGAATCCAATAATATTCAGTGGAAATGTTTTTCGCTTACTAAAAGGACCCAAGTACACGGCCATGCAACAGTGTTCAGTTGGAATGTTGTTCGCTTTACACGGGCTTACTGGTAAGACCCAAGTATACTCGCACGCAATGCTATTGACCAAGAAACCTCTTTGTTGCGGTGTAATTTTAATAAAAAAAGTGACCATTTTCTTTTATTCTCTCCATTCCGAAACTCGATGATGTAGTTTGGAGGTCGCAGTGTTGGCGTAGCCCGCAGCGACTATATCATAATGCACCCCATAGTAGATCAGACCCGAGCGTTGCAGGAGCTCTCGATTCGGGCTGATGATGATTGATTGCTCGACAAGCATTCAGGTAGTGGCTTCTATCCAAACACTGCAATGACGGCAATGGCTGAACCCCAACATGTCTGGAATTCGGCGCGTGTCCTGTGCTTTGCCGACCCCAGCATGCGGCTGCGATAAACATTGGCGGTGTGTTATTGGCTTCAGATCACGTGACCGCTTGTTCTGGCTGCGAGCTGATGAAACAAACTCTGCTCATTTTCTTTAATTTTTTTGCAACTCTCATTGCATCAGAAGAAAATCTAGTTTTCATGGGTTATAAACATCGGGGATTCGTTCTAAGTGGTATTTACGCAAAGTACAAAAATCGTTGCATCGCCCCGTTATGATTTCTTCCCTTGAAGCTTGAGTTTTTCTTATTCAAGAACAGCTCCAACTCAAGGTTTTTCATTTTTGTGTTATTTTGATTAAACCGGCTCGGGGGCTGGCCACTTTTTGGGATGTATCGTACATATAGTGAAAACTTGTCATGTTAGTTACAGTGCATGACGATGCACTTTCTTTTTTCTGTCAAATGTCGACCTTTCTCGAATTACCTTTCTTCAGCAAAACATTGCTTATGGCATTGCTGTTTTCCACATGAAAAATGGGGACAAGGCTCACGTTCTCGATCTGATGATGCTCGGAATTTCCTACAGAAAAGGCATAGGTAAAGGCTGTCCTTGTGTATGCTATGAATGTGGTGGGAGCTTTGTTTATAACGAATGCATGGAGAGAAGCCATCAAACTTTGAGTATTGTTTTTCCTGTGTAAATGATAGTAACTTTATGGACGAGATGCCAATATATTTATCGCTTGATTCAGAATACCCCTATAGGTGTTCCAAAGGAGGTCATTACATAGGGCAGGGGCGCAAATATGTAAGAAATGCAGAAAAGTTTTTGAATAACGAGAAGAATGTGAGCATAACAAAAACACAAATGGGCTGAAGCAAAAGAAGCAGGAAAGGGGGCATAGTGAAAGCAAAATACAGATGAAGTAGGCGGGAGAAAAAGCTAAATGTTGTCGTCTGTGCACACGAGTTGATAAAATATTGTTAGATGGACTTTGTACGCTGTGTGTGATGGCTGTATATTCTGGTACGAATGATTGTGGATGAATAGATGAGTTGCATATGTAATTCGTTCCACTTTACATGAATTATGCTGATCTGATCCGCCTCGGAGAACTTTGGTGCTGGTTGCGAATTGGCAGCGAGGTGGTCGTCTGATTGGTAATGATGCCCTTTTGACTCTCCCTGCTGGCAGATTGGTTGCAATGCTGTGAGCTGGGCTCCGGCCATAGTCTCGGCGGAAGGGGGAGAATCAGGCAGCTCCTTTCAGGGCATGACTAAGCAGTTTGCGACCGGAGGCTGTGACAACCTGGTCAAGATCTGGAGATACCTGTGAGCAAGCATTCTCAGTTGATCACTCGGTCAGCCCATGTCTTATGAATGTGCCCAAACCCAAAAACAGCTGGCGGCTTTTTTTAGTATACAAAGCGAAAGGCAATCAATCCACCGTTTTTGAACTTTTCAAAAGTAGTCAAGAAGTTCATGTCAGAGTTAGATGACTTGTCATACACTGGAGTTATATGATTTGTCGTCTGCCACTACCCGATTTTCATGTGTATTTCACTAAATTCTGCTTGGACTTAATTGCTGATGTTTATAAATCGTGCAAGGTGCGTTTGTTTTTAGCTCCACACACACACTGTTACCAGAAACGCCGGAGAAAATTGAGTGCCGTTAAAGGGGCACTGACACGCCAAAGGTCGTATTCTTTTTTTATTGTCTAAAATGATGCAAGTTGTAGTCATAGACACGCAAAAAAAAAACGCATCGCGAAAAAAAAATTTTTTGCGCCTGCGCGCACCTTTTTATTTTTGGCGTTAATATTTCCCGCGCTCACCTCCTTGCTTCTTTTGATCGGTGACGTCAAAAATCAGGAAATTTTGAAGCTTTGTAGGTGACATTTCTATAACATTTAATAACGACAATCGTAAAACATGTTTTTTAACGCAATGACGAACGCACTTTGGTCTTTCTTTTTGAAATACCATAAATCAGATTTCGGTGTGATGTCGCTTCCTGAATTTGTGTTCTCCCTCGGAAAACTTGGCGGCGCTCGAGCAGAGGCTTATCGCAGAGTCGGGGAAGAAACCGGTTTTTCCCCGCCTTGGCTCCCTTCTATCCCTCCTGCTCACCTCCTCCTCTCTTCGGATTGTGGTAGCAACGGCGCTTTGCTTCACAGCGTGGTGCGGAGGTCCGAAAGAAAGTCGAGTCGCAGGAGACCGCAAAATTTGACTCACTGCACTGGCGCGGATCGCGCGGGAACTTCAAATTCGGCATTTGGAAATTGTTTTTTTAATTCACAAATACTGAATTCCCAAGTTTCGAATTTTGAGGGTAATGTCCCGGCATCATTTTCAATCGTTTCGGATAATAAAATAAATTACGATTTTGATGTGTCAGTGGCCCTTTAACCTTTTCAACTCATGACCCGAGCAAGCAGTTTGGTGTTCTGTCAATGGCTGTTGCCACAGATTTTGCATTAATAACAATTTTTTCTCGGGGGAATGACCATCCTATGACATACACAATTTTTCCGTAAGCTTGACTACCCTAGAGGACTCGCTTGGATGGACACCTTTGCAACATCATAGGTTCGGTTTACGCATGAAGCTCTTTCATAATATTTACAATAACAAAACGGGCATAAACAGTGAAAGGTTTCTTCAGTTCTCTCATTTCACCTCGCGAAAAGGTAGATCACCAAAAAAAAATTTAAAGAATATTGTTACGAGACAAACATTTTTTAAATACCCTTTTTCCCTCTTACTACTCGTGAATGAAACTGCTTACCTGAATCACACGATTCAGTTGAACTCTTTGGTTTTCTCTACAATTATTGAAGGCTTGTTGCGCGTGGTTGATTGGGAATATTGAATGTGTTGTTTTCTTGCAGCATTGTATAACAATCCTTTTATTTTTCCCAGCGCATGTTCTATTTCATGCTTAAACTGAATTTTATGTGTGTTTATTGCTTTCGGTTATGTTTCCATAATGCCTTTGGCCGCTGAAGTACACCTCGAATAAATGAATAAATCCATATTTTATGTGGGCGCCTAAAATATTCATAACGTAAGCTCGATCGTGCCGGCAGAAACCAGGATGCACAAAATGTTCCCCGCAGACACCACACCCCATGTGTGGTTTGTAATACAGTGAATGCTCGTTAATTCGCAACACATTCATTCAATCTTTTGGATAATTCGAACCAATCGCCATGGTCCGATCACGCTGCATAGGGTACATGTGTAAAACAACCTGTTAATTCATGCTCAAATAATTTCTGGCACCGATAATTCAAACCACGCACCGTCGTGCGTGGAGCTTTCCCGGCCAAGCGATAGGTGGCGCGGTGGGAGCCGCATTACTAAATGCGGCAGGTGCGTTGCCGGAAACACGAGAGCGTCGCCGGAATCCACTTGTGGGCCAATAGGAATGCGCACACGGATATTTGGAGCAACGTCGCTGGGAGTTCAAGAGGGTTCCTTTAGCGCTTTTGGAAGCCTCCTTCTTCGCTTTACCAGTTCTGCTTCCGTGCTGTGTTGAGCTGTTGCCACCGTTGTGCGATCGCTGATCGTTTCATTTGCGCTTGTGACTTGGCTGGTGATGTTAGCCGTTGGACCGGGCTACGCTCATTGAGATTATAGTGTCGTCATCTGGTACGCTGGCCCGCAGAAAGTGTTGCGCCAAACTGCTCAGAGAGAAAGTGGAGATTTTGCATGAAGTAGACGCAGGTAAAGCGAGCAAGGTCGAGGTTGCCAAGAAGCATGAAAACCCGAGGAGCACGTCATCTGCATACATCTGCAACAGGAAAACAATAGAGGATGCCGATGTAGCTGAAGTTTTTGCCCATGGCAGGAAAAGACTTTGCTCTGCCAAACACCCGGATTTGGCGAACGTGCTCATTACGTGTGTTAAAGACACGAGAAGCCAAGATCTTGCTCGTGGAGGCCCCATCAGTGGAGGCCCCATCATCATGGCGAAGGCAGCCGAGTTCGCACTACATTTGCAACACCACGACTTCGTCGCGCCTGAGGGATGGTTTCATCGCCTCCGTCAGAGGCACGACCTCGTTTTCCGTACTGTGTCAGGTGAAGGTAAATACATGAGCATGAAAATTTGCATGATGTGGCGAAATGGAGCCCTGCAGGGATACCTGTATAGCTACACACCGCGTGCCATTTTTAACGTGGCTGAGACCGCTCTATTTTTCAAGCTCTTGCCGGAGAAAACGATCGCGTACGAAGGAGAGAACTGCACAGGCAGGAAGTGAAGTAAAGAGCGTGTCACCGTCTTTGTCGCGGCAAACATGACTGGAACGGAGAAGCTTTCCCTGCTCGTAATAGGAAAGTCAATGAAGCCTCGGTGTTTCAAGAAAATTCACGCACTGCCAACAGAAAGGCGTGGGTGACTGGCGAGTTGTTCAAGAAGTGGCTTAGGAAGTTGGGCAGAAAGTTCTAATTGAGCAACCGACAGGTCCTGCTCATCGTAGACAACTGCTCATCGTAGACAACTGCTCAGCGCACAAGGTCGACATGGAGCTGAAGGCGATTACACTAGTGCTTCCTCCACCAAACATGACTCCGGCACTCCAGAACATGGACCAGCGTGTGATCAAGAACATCAAGTCCTTCTACAGACGTCGCATGCTGGAACAAGTGATTTGTCGCGCGGTCAGAAGGAACCAGACTTATAACGTGACGCTCCTCAGCACCATGCACATGCTGGTATTGCCGTTTCGAGCATTTCCTGTGCAGAAGCGGCCTTATTTCTTTTTTTTTTTTCCATCAGTTGGTAGCTTGTTTTAGTCATATTTTTTTAGCCTAACCGCACAATTCAAATTAACGAGCTTTTACTGTGTTTTTTTTTCATTGCACACCACAAATGTTAGCCAGGGTGAGACCAGGCAAATGAGTGTGCTGCACAGGCGCTACCTCATATGGCTCTTGTGCTATGCACGACATAAACAATGATACGGCGTTGCACTGCTCTCGCCGGCACGTTTTGCCGGTAGCCGTATCCTCCCAGAATAGCTGCATTATGCAACTTGGTGGCTAAAGTACCTGACTGCCACTGCACCGACCCGGGTTCGAGCCCCGCTGGGGCGTCTTTTTATGCGTCGATTTTATGTGGGCCTTCGTAAGCTTCATATATGCGAGGTGTGGCAAAGAAGTAAGGAGACTGATTTTGTTTTAACCGTAAATTTTATTCTTCCTACAAATCAAGGTTAGTATCCTCTTTTAGAGTAGTTCCCTTGTGCAGCTACACATTGACAGGGGGGCTGTTTCCATTGTTTGTAGCAGAGCTGGAAGGCTTCTGCTGAAATGCTTTTCTGCTTGTTGGTTACTCTCTTCTGGATTTATCCAAAGTACCAAAATGGCGCCCTTTCAAGTGGATTTGAGCCGACGGAATAAAAAAGAAGTCACAAGGACTGAGATCTGGCGAATAGAGGGGCTGGGGAGCCACACAAGTGCCTTTTTCTGGCAGAAATTCATGGATAGAGTTTGTAGCATGAAATGGGGCGTCGTCATGGTGCAGCAAGTGCATGCAATGCCTGGTCGCACTCATGCCAGATCTTCCTGAGCCTTTTGAGGACTTTCCGATAAAAAAATGTTTGATTGAATGTTTGTCATGGAGAGAGAAATATTTTCTTGGCGATCCCCCCCCACTGTTGAAAAAAGAAACAAGCGTCGATTTGATTTTTAACTTGATGGCACAACGTTGCTCAAAAAGTTGCTGGTTCATATTCGTATGCACCTCACAAACGGAACTGTACTCAAGACGCTCTCAACAATTGCGTTGTAACTGCAGCAAGTTCAAATTTATGGAGAGTATAGGGCAGGGGTTAACCCGACTGCCACGTGAAGGGGAAAGCAGCAGCATTCTCGGTTTATGCATAGTGTTGCCATTCTCACTACTTTTCTACCACACCTCGTATAACATTAACGTCATGTAACGCTCCCAGTGTGTCGCTTGCTAATGATGCTGGTCGTTCATAACGCTCATTCCTGTTGCTTGTTCCTGGTGCTCGTTCATGATGCTCTTCTCATAGAAGAGGATCCACAAAGCACATTCTGCGTCAAAGCGTCCTTTGGTAGTTGTCCCTTCAAGCGCCGCGACGGCGTTCCCAGGGAGGCGGAGGAGGACTGGGTGGAGGAGCACAAGCTGGAGGCCCACAGCGACTGGGTGCGGGACGTGGCCTGGGCCCCCACGGTGGGTCGGGGTCGCAGCACCATTGCCAGCTGCTCCCAGGACTGCCGAGTCATCCTGTGGACCTGCCCCTCGGGTTCCAACGTTTGGAGCCACACCCTGCTCGGGGCCTTCGATGATGTCATCTGGCTCGTCAGCTGGTCTGTCACTGGGAGCATGCTGGCCGTGTCCGGGGGCGACAACAACGTACGTCGTTTGCTCGCTTCTCTTGCCCTCTTTCTTCGGTCTGCCTAAAGGGACGCTGACGGGATATTTGTGCTGGCCGAGGTTTTAGGGGCGAAGCTCCTTAGGGTCTAGCCTTGTCCATCCGTCCAGCGTCCATGCTCACATTGATTACCATCCCATCTGTCTCTCATGGATGAATGTAGCCGCTCAACGTCTATACAGGAGAGGGCGCTGCAGCCAAATGCGTATATAATTGCGTTTAACTTTGCATGCATTGGCTCAACGTTTACTGACGAGAGGGCGCCGCGGTCAAGTGCTCAAATACCACACATTCTCTTTCTGACATGATCCGTTGACTTAAGCGGTGGAGATGCGTTCCCATGGCTTCTAGCTGATCCAAGCTGATCTGCTAGAAGAACCACTGGCTCTGCATTTCCCTGACTATAAAGCAGTAATAATGAAGTCGAAACGCAACCCGGAACTCAGCACTGCCTATGAGCAATAAAAAAAAATCAGCACCATCAGCGCTACCTATAAACAATAAAATCAGTATCATCAGCACCACCAGAGCTTTGCCCCAATGAACATCATTCACCACTTGGAGATGTTGTGAATTTTATTTGGACATTACCTGTATGAGCCCAACTACCCGGAGCACAATTTGCGGCTCGAAATTCGTTTTCTTTCCGCCCCAAAACAGCTAGCTGGTCGAGAATTGGCCGGTTTCAGTCGCGCTCACCCTCCTTTCCACGGTCACGTGGCGTTCCAACTATGTGTACATAATATATTCAAAGTCGCGGGTCATCTGAGGCACACTTTCAATATTAAAAATAGAAAAGAATATGAACCCTATTTTTTTGGCCTCCAATCAAATGCATACGTCAAACAAAAAAAAACAAAAAAATGTTGCACCGATCACAGGAAATGCATGCACAAGTCATTCTCATGACGGCGACATACCGTGGGCTGGACGACACGATGGTGGCGCACGACGAACGTGGGGCCGCTGCTTCGGAACTGTCATTCGTTGTACCGGCCAATCGATTCTCAAACGCAGAACATCGAGCGGAAGGGACACAAGTGCGAAACAATTGCTCGACAAACGGCGCACACAACCCTGTCGTCACTGTCGTCTGCTTCACATGTCGGAGAGGCATGTGAAGCAGGCACACGCCGGAGAGGCGGAGGACAAAAAAAACACGGTCAGGTCTAGCCACATGATTTCCGGCATCTCTTCCCCCTACGTTTCTCCCTCCTCCTCGGTCCACGTCGTCCGCGTGGCATGACCATGAGCTTCAGTGCTCGCTTTTCGGTTTCGAGCAGTTGAGTTTTTTGCCTTTAGTATAACAAAAAGTTATTTTGGTAATCGCCTGACACCATATTGAACCGCCTGGCAAAAAATTTAAAAATATTTTTGGGGGGGTGTCTCTCTTTTTTGATGTGCCGATGCGTACTGCAATGTTACAGTGCCTGGATCGCTGTCACGTCCTAAAACGGAACAGAACATCCGGAACGTTGACCGCGTCCTGAAAAGCGGTCCCTCTATTCCCTCCCAATGACGTCGTGAAAGCGTCGCGCCGCCGTGGGCTGGGATCCTGGTGGTGTCGCAGTGGCAGTGGCATTTGCAGCAGACGCCTTTTCAACTGTGGGTCGCTCCCCAGCTTGCATCTGGCACGCCCCTCCGTTGGGGTGTGCCAGATGCCCGTCGTTGGTTTGGCACGTAAAACCCCCAAAATTTGACTTTTAGCTTGACAGTCACCGGAATCCTCTGCAGCATCGAATTGAGATGCCGCGATGACGGCAACGCTCACTTTGGCTTTTACGTTTTGCCTGGAGTTCCGGCGGCGACCGTCGGGACAGCGGAATCTGGCAACACGACGCACCGGTGCATGTGACGTCATCCGTCACTACTCCGGGACCATGTATGAGCGGGATAGGTAGTTTGACACATTAGGCAAAGATTCGTTCCAGGCATCATAGCGTCGCTGTTGTCTACTGATTTGGTTTTCGACATCGTCCTTTTGTTGCTCTAACAGGTTCTACGTACCCGAGTGACACGATTGTTGCTTATGCTGACGACATAATCGCATTTCCTTTTTGTATGTGCTCCTTTAATGCACCTGTTTGTTCAAATATGAACAGTGAAGTGAAAGGTGTTCTTTTTTCACAATATATGTATTCCTGCTTCTTATCTTGGCTTTGTTTTAAAGCGATACCTTGTGGGACCCATTAAAAAGGCCCACAGTGCATCCTAAGTATTCAATAGTAAGTTCTGAAAAGGACAGAGTTCTGTACCATGTCGTTCTGTTCAGGAAAAGTCACATCTTTTTCAAACATGTCCGTAGTTAAAACTTAGCATTGTTCCAGCTGACTTGGTGCCAAAGTCTGCTCTATCGTTCGCTTTTGCGTCTGCTTTAAAGGAGCAAGAGATTGCCATGGGCCCAGTATGACGACATTCGTTGTCGCCTTCTGCCTCGGCTCCGGGACAGTTTTCTGTTGTCTTAAATTTCGAAATAAAAAAACAAAAACAAAAGATTGAGGTACACCTAAGCACTTCTTATGAGTTGTGAATGCAAAAGCATGTACACAATCTTGCTGTAGATCAGGGGTTCTCAAACTGGGTTCTGGGGAACACAGGGGTTCCACGAGCTGGTCTCATGGGTTCTGCGAACACCCAAATTGCAACCCCCCCGCCCCCATGCCGCAGGCTGCGCGGCAGGACCATACAAAGCGCCTTCATCTCACTTTGTACTGACATCGCAATTGATAAGTTGGGGATATATGGGAAGCAACACAAGCAAAATTGCCTACAATAGACCGATCTCACCAAGTGTTCCACGCATGCGTGACGCCACCATAACTGTAGTTCGTTGGAGGCAGACGCCAGTTCACGAGACAGCTCATGCCGCCTCGTGCTCTGCTCGTGCAGGCCTCCAGCGGGGTTCTTGCGCGTGCAGAAAGGCTACAGCTCCCACGATGGATGGCGGCAGCAGTGGCGTACTCAAACTAGCTGGTGAGATCGGTCTATTGTGCATCTGTTGCCTCTCGGTCGACAAATATAGAGGGGGGGGGGGGGTTTCGTGGTAGTTTTTGGGGCTTCCTGGGGTTCCCTGAGACCAAAAAGTTTGAGAACCCCTGCTGTAGATGATTGAACGTGTTGCTTTCTAATTTACGATAAAAAAAGAGGGACATTGAAGACAAACAGATGAGACAGGCTTTCGACTTTCGCTGCTAGCGCGCTGATTGGCACTGACGGACACGCAGCACCATGAGGTGGCCGGTCATTAAAACTAACGTGCAGCAACAGTTTCAACGACCGGCCACCCAATGGCGCTGCGTGTCCTTCGAATGGGTGCCTGGTCGGCGCGTGCTATACTCTGTTTCACCTTATGTTGTACCGCAGAGAAGGCTACAAGCGCGAGCTCCTTGCTCTAGGGCACATCTCGGCGGCACGAGCTCTCGTGCGTTAAAAGCAGCTCCAAATGCTATGAGCTCGCGCTTCTAGCCTTCTCTGCGGTACAATATAAGGTGAAACAGAGTATAGCCATTGGGATTGCAGCGATGTAAAAGGTGCCGTTGGCTGTGGATGCGTGCTAGCCATTGGGATTGAAGCGGTGTAAAACGGCTCTCGCTTCATGAGGCAGTTAATGCTTTCGCATTAAAAATGCCCTTGCCTTTCGTTATGCAGGTCACCCTGTGGAAAGAAACTAAGGACGGCTCATGGGCTTGCATCAGTGACACCGCACGAGACGACTCGACCGACTTTGCCGAAACTGACGCAACGTGAGCGCAACCGTGGACAGCTCTCAGTGTCCTGAGATTATCGGCCTTGTCGAAAAATCTACCAGACATCCTGCAACAACATTGCACTACGTCATGAGATTCCCTGCCATCCACGCCAGCTGGATATGCTGAGACTACAAACACCACGAACAATTTCGTAGCAGTGATGTGTACGAAGTCTCGCGGGACAATGTGTGAAGAACGCTCCTCTACGTGAAACGTGAGCTTACAGTACAGAGCGCTGGCGGTGATGTTATAGCCCGAAGCAGGGATGGATACTATTACTTGTTATGATTTGTGGTTTACATAGCACATGTGGAAAGGCTGCACTAAGTTCAGTAGACTGGCTGGCTGTGGCTTGGAACCGGAGTCTGTTGTTGTCACTTTTATGGACGTCGACTTGTCTGGTGGATCGGGGATCGTCTGAACTCCCGATGTTGAATTTGTGCGGTGAAACCCTCTTCTAACAGGTTTATCTGCTACGAACATTGTGGTGATTGTGTGGTATAATCTGCTGATAAGAAAACATGTCCGCTGCCCCGACAGTTACCTAAGTCTTACGAATTTATTTACGGTTTTGCTATCGCTAATTGTTGAAGTGGTAGTTTTTTTTCTCTGTAGGGCCATTGCTGTGTGTGGGTTGCACTGCAGTATGGGTGCAATATGATAGGGATAAACTCTCCCTAGGTCGGGCCAACTGAGAACTTTAAAAAGAGAGAGGCACTGCTGCATACAGTACAAAACTTACTTTGCACGAAACGGTGTCTTGTCCAATCAAGAGTGCCACTGTGGCCAGCACTTAACTTCCAACCTGACCTGTTCAATCACAGGCGCATTTGCACGTCCTGAATTTGTATTCTAGTAGCAGACATGTGTGGAGGCTGGCTGTTGTATTTGACAAAATGCTAATCATATTTTATTTTACGGATATTCATTATCACACCTGTTTTCCAAGGGCAGGGGGCTTAAGATGCAGCATTAATAGGGGAAGAACTAGGTGCAATGAAGAAGAAAAAAAAAAACTTTGACACACCACTGTACGCTTGTGTCGTGCTAGTCTTCGAAAAGTCTGTGAATGTGGATACGGCGTGACATTCTGACTCTGCCTTAGAGTCATGAATTTTGTTCAATCACGTCCCTTTGATGCCAAGCTCTACACAAACTCGTAATCTAGGCCTTGCCAAGGATTTTTATATTTTTATTGGGTGTCATTGCCTATACCTCCTTCTTGTTGGCCATTTCAGTGGAGATTTTTGTAGTATACTTGTGGCTGACAAGTGCCAATTATGCTGCATGTACTCTGGTCCGCTCCTGCTGTTTTTTGCTTGACATGCAAATGAGAAATTGATGACGAAATCGAATTGCCCGTGCCTTTTATTCTTGCTTGTGTTCACTCGGTGGAAAGCTGTAAACTTAGATGCAGTAACTTTTTCATGTCTCACTGAGGCTTCTGAAATACCACAGTACTTTCTGTACAATCTGTCAGTCACTGGGTGTACATTGAGCCACTTTTGGAAGCTTTCGGAAAAGCAAAAGTGGACAACCGGTATATGGGGTAGCTCAGCTCTGTGCTTGCAGTTTCTCTGGGGGAACCAGCCTCTTTGCTCCCGAACTCTTTGTATTTAGCATGTCTACCTCTCAGATCTGTTGACAGATGCATATACACAACTGATGTCATATTTCTGTCATAAAAATTTGTAGAAAAATCAGTTGTGTACATGAAAGCGTCTTTAAGTAGTGGAAAGCTACTTGGATGGTTCATTGCTGACGTCCATGCCACTTTCTAGTTTTTAAAGCTAAGTCATCGAACAAATGAATTTTATTTCTTAGTCTCATAAAGGCTGCTCATTAGCTATCATAGAATTTTTATGGAACTTATCACCTTGATCTTAAAAATCACCCATGACTGAAATGTAACTTGGTCAGGTTCACTGTCATCCATACGAGAGTTTGTAAATATTCAAAGCTGCCCTCATTACGAAGCGAAGGGTTTTGAAAAATGCTCAAGGGGCTATTTTTGGTCTATATCAGCTGTTGTAAATACTACAGGATGTAGTATCATATAAAGTGACAAAACTTTATGCTAGTGGAATGAAGTGCTGATGTTTCCCTTTAAAATAAATTCACATGACTGTCTCTCTTCGTTATGCATGGGACTGCTCATGACGTCTACATTTTGCTTTCAACATTATCTTTGCCTAGGATAAAGGGGTTGCAGAAATATTATGTTTAAAAGCGGTCCGGAGGTTTTTAATTCCATTCAGTTTGTGTCCAGATTAGTGTGGGAAAAGTGTCTCGTACAAATGCACAAATGGTGGTGGCGGCAGCAATGTGTTTGATGCATATAAGTAGGAAAAGGGGAATTCCAGTCAGGGGCTTGTCTCAATCTAGGCACAAGTCGTGAAACTGACCATGATATTTTTAAAGAGCTGACCTACGTTTATTTAGAGTGCATTTTGTTTATTTCATGTGCCGACATGTGGTGAATTGCCACACTGCAGGTAGTCACGTGGTTTCTTCTTTACTTTTCGGGCCTTTTTTCCGGAGCATGTATGGAATATTTCTCCTTAGAGCTGCCAAAGGAGCACAAGTGAAGAGGCAGGAGATTGCTCTAGGTTCATGGAAAAGAGTTTTCAGGGTATTTGAGGGATTGACTCCTGCTGGTTATATGGTGTGCTTTTTGTATGTTGTAATAAATAGTCACTGTGTGGGATCTTTGAGCTCCAACAAAGAGTCACTTCAAAGTAACCATGTTTTTAAAAGTGTTCCAAGTGCCATTCAAATTTTTTGAATCTAGTATGTGTTCATGCTTTGTAAGTCATGCAACATGGTGCTCTGCATTTCCGTGCAATAAGAAATGTCCCATTATTTTAAATAAATTTCTTAATAAGTACAATTTATACTATTGAATGTGTTTGTTTTATACTCTTAAGCTGGTCGAGTTTTTTTTTTTATTTTGTATAATGTGAGAGCTAGCTGAGGCCATGTCAAAACACTACACCATGTCAAAACACTTTTTAAACTTGGAAACATTTATTTTTTTGGTTATTACAGGTTAAAGAGTTTAGCTTTTCCTATTTCTCTAGAAAAGCTTGAATTTATATATTTTTTTAAATATTTACTGACGGGAATCGGATTTGTTATTCTGAATGACTATGGTGTAGAGTGGTTGATAGTTTGAGGGATATTTTATAATGGATGAATAAACTTTTTCCTTTTATTCTCGATGCCCTCTGAATCTTACGATTATGATGTGTTCTTTGGTTGATGCCATTACTGTGCAGACCCAATATTTTTGTTTGAATTTTCGTATACGGGACATCTTGCAAGTCTGGAACCATTGTTCTTTGCTGCAAGCTAAGACCACTGTCTTTGTGGCAGACACCGTCATGTCTTGCCCTTGTAGGGTTGTACACATAATTTAGCTCATGGCTGTACAGCTTCCGTGCATTCTGCCAAGGCATTCAGGAGAAGCAGTTATCTCAGATGCACCTAGCTCGTTTCACTTTTTAAGATTTCACCTTCAATATGTAGCTTCTACCTAATAGACCAAAGTTTTTGAATAAAGAGTTTTATTGCGCGGTAAACAACGTTGACGGGATATGGAAGTTTCAGTAATAGCTTGCCTCACAGAGAAAGGGAGAAAATTGTTAAACATTAAAGGTATAAAAACATTAAAGGTATAGGGATACAAGAAAGAATGAACTAAATGAAGACCATGAGTTTGTGGTTGAGGGTAAGGGAAAGGATATGCTAAGGCAAGATTCTGTTGAAAACAATGTTCAGCACTTTCTAGAGAACTCAACTTATCACTCTATATTTTACAGAATTTTTAGACTGCCGTTTCCTCAGAAGCTACGGCGCACAAAAGGCATGCAACCACCGAAGCCGAAGCTTGTGTTGGAAATGCGTATCTTGACTCAATATAGATCTACCGTGTGTACAATTTCTTTGGGTGGTCTGTAAAAATCGGTTTCTCAACGTATCATGCTGGGATTTACTACAGGGGTACCCGAAGGTGGTGCATTTATTTATTGGGAGTATGAATGCATCGAACCCTCCGGAGTCAAGAAAAAACAAAAAAAACCTCTTTTGTTCAATGTCATTGAAGTCCTCTTAGAAGGTAAAACAAGCACATGTGTGGTAGTGATGGATTCAGGGGGGGGGGGGGGGGGGGGGGGGTTCTGATATCCTAACCCCCCTCTTGAATGCTATATGTGTAAAAATTTAGGGCGGGGGAAACGAGGGGGGGGGGGGGGGGGGGGGCGGGGTGTTCCTTAAACATATAACACGCTGACCCTCCCCCTTTCTAAAAAAAAACCTGCGTCCGCCCACGCCTGCGCGTGCCAAGGCAGTCGCAATGTATCGGCTGCGCGCCCTGGATAGTGCGTGGCCGGTGCGGCGTCCGTGTTTTTCTAAATTATTCACGAAGCACACACATCACTCCGTCTCTTGCGACAATCATGGATGACATCGGCAAAAGCAAGTGGTGCCTCGTTGAAGGAGAGGACGTGCTCAACTGCGATCATGTCATCGAGTGCAGCGTTGCACCAGAGCCGATGGCAAACAGTGTTCGCATCGTCGCATACGTGCTGCAGTTCTCTCCACTGCGTATATCCAGTTCAAAAGCATGTTTCGAGCACTGCAGTGCGCAGCAAGTGCTCACCATATCGCAACAAACAAATATGCAGCGAGCGCTCAAATGTTGCCACGTACGCCAGGAGTAATGTTGGCCAGGAGACTGCTGGCATTGGAGTTGTTTGCCACACAGCGATTGTTTGTGATGATGATGACGACACATAACTCTATGCACTGATCTGTAGGGGTGTCGCAAACCGGCCGAGGTTCGAGTTCGATCAGGTTCGACTTTTTTGAACTTTTTGTGTAAAGTTCGACGAACCTTGTTATTGAGGTTCGATCGACTCACATGTGCATGCACGACGTTTTGGCCGATGCCAACAAGTCGCGCATCTGCATAAAAAAAAATTTTTCCAAACCTAGACTTGCTTGTATCAAGGTCTGGCCACACTGTCCACAAAGTCCAACCGGTCGAATCTGGTGAAAAGTATGAAGGTTCGTCGTCAAACCCCGAAATTTCGACCGAAAAATCCGGTTTGACAAAAGTTTGCGAAACCCCTACTGATCTGTGACTCTATGAATGACGATAACGAAACTGCGCCCCCTATAGACCTTTGCAGAAACAGCTCGCTGGCCGCCGCCATTTTGCGACTCGAGCGACTCCTATCAGCTAAAAATTTCTGCCATCCGCCTGAGCTGTGAAAACCCGGTCAGCGCGACTCCCCACCTGCATTGTGTGTTCGAAGTTCGCCGGCTTTCCTTGAAAGTGTTTACTCTATTTGCCTGTTCAGGATGCTTGTGTGTTTTTGTAATCTTCCACTGTGAGAACCAGGGAATACCAGGGCTTGTAGCCTGCTGCACCTTCGCAGGAAACAAACAAAGAGAGCGAGCTAAGAAAGCGAACGTCAAGCAGCCTGCGACAAGGGCCGTTCGACGTTCTTCGAGGATTATTTCCGTTGAGATAATCTCCGAAAAGCCTTCCCGGATATGTTCCCGGTCTTGGCGAAAACTAGCTGATAGGGTCCGGGGTATGGGAACTGAATAGACACTTTCGTTCATTCGCTTTTAGTGCTGTGTCAAAAAAACATCACTCTTCAAAACATACCCTAAGACAAGCCGGATTCCGTCCGATCGTCGTGAGGTGACTATCGTCGACACTGTATATTGGATATGCTGTGTTATTTGAGACCTTTCTCAAATCCTGTTCGGATAACGCGGCACCGTGGGGTACGTACAATATATGTTGTTCAATTTTTGAGACTCGTTAAATTGCATATAGTGAGGGGGCAATACCCATACCGTTCGGCTATCCTCTGGTGTGGTCAAATATGTTAGGCAGTTAAGATCTTTGTAGGCCGACACGGCTGAGTGTATGGTGCCGTTAAGAAGATCAGCATAAAATCAAACAAACATCCCAGTTGCATTTGTTCTGTCACGCACGGACTCGCCAAAAATAGCTTTCATTTGTTTGTTTTTGTTCTCAACAATAGTTCAACGCTTTCTTAATAATTTCGAGAAATTTTCTTCGCCATAGAACACAAAAGAAAAAAATAAAGCGAGGCGATTTTGCCGCCATTTGCGTTCAAAATTGCTCCTACGCAGGCTGGCACAGCCTACTGACGAGAAACACCACAGCTCAGCGCAGTCGGGCAACACTGACATACACTCTCAAAACCAGGGATGCGCGCTGGAAATCGCTTCGTTCGAGACTGCCGCTGGAAAGGTCTATAGTTAGATTTCCTCGCCAATAGTGGATGTTGGCGCCGCCTATCAACTACTGGAGTTTATTAATAAGTAAATTAATAACACATGGAGTTTCATAGCGGAGTTTCAAACATATTTTTAGAGGGTGAGACATATGAATAAGCCTAGATGGCGCAAGCTACCGCCCGACACAAGGATCATAACGCATAACACGGGTCTGCGCATAACCAGAGCGCATTGCCACTAGCGCCTATCCATTCACTCATTTGCTTGGCTTGCTCTTGACGCGTCGGATGCAAGATTGTAAACAAGAAAAAGTCAAAACACAACAATCCTGATCTAAACGCTAAGTATTCTCGCCTCCGCTACGAAATTCACTGTATTTCCACGCAGTCCGAGCGTTCTTAAGAATGCCCGTGTCGTGTCCGCGTCCCGTATGCACCGTCGAATCGTCACAGGAGACCTGCTGAAGCGCGAACCAAAGAGGCACTGACAAGATCGCGACATCATCGAAGTGGTAAGCCCGCCGTGACGGCGAGTCGTGGCGTATCGACGGAGGTAGGCACATCATCTGCGGTCAAACGGGTCCGTTTCAAAATTCTTTTTGCTTTATTGAGTGTCGGTCCTCCCGAAGTCGCGATTTAAGTACCACAACGTCGCCTGGCTCGCTTTGCCTTCCGTGCATCGCTGCAAAACACTGCGGTCAGTGTACCCCGAAACATAAAAATAAAAACGTCGGAAAGTGCTTGCCTTAGAGAATCGTGTAGTGATTTTCTCTTTGGCGAACGCGGTTATCAATACGACGTATGTCGTATTGATAGCCGCGTTAGTAAAGGGAACTCATCGACCCAGCACTTGCTGGGTCGATGAGTTCCCTTCTTTACTTGCTGATTTCACGTTATCCTTGTAGTGATGTTATTCACTTTGGCCATAGGCTGTGCCATGAATAAACACTTCCTGTTCGTGGCGCAAGCGTCAGTTTTAAATTGCATGCTCTTATCGTCGCAAAAAAAGAAAAAGACATTTACGAAGTTCGCATTCGAACGGTTCCTGTAACGAAACTGATAAGGAAAAAAGTGACCCTTGCAGCGATAGGTAACCCCATAGCAAACTAGGGCCGGTTTTTTTTATTTAGTAAAACCAGAAAACGTCGAGCAGTTTCGCGGATAATCCCTGCCATTCCCCTAAAGACTGAAACAAAAGATGATTGTCTGCATTCCTGAAAGTGGCAGTTGACTACATTAAGTGAATATCCCTAGCTTCATCATTGTAAAGAGATCTGGTACATCATATATTTTGCTTGCATTTTAAAGGTTACGAATGATGCAGCACTATTTGATTCAAGCCGGGTAGCTGTGACCATCTTCCTAGCATATTTTTTAAATTTAGGTAATATTTTGTTGTGACTGGCGACCAACGTTCCAGTAAGAGGCTTCCAGCCAGTGCCGTAGCCAGGGGGGAAGCTTATGGGGCTTTGGCCCCCCCACCCAAAAGTCCAACCGAACCTATACTATACACATGCATTTTGACCCCCCCCCCCTCCCTCCCCCCTGTCTGCACCCCAAGTCATAGACATCTTAGGCCCGCTTCAGATGGAGCGATTTCACCCAGCAACTTGACGTCGCAACACCAGCAACACCGGCCGCCCGCGTTCACACGCAGCAACCGAATTGCTCCGACTTGCCATGATCATCATTAAATTTTATTCTTCTTTCACTATTTAGACGCCCAGCTACGCGCTAAAACCGCGTTCTTATATCTTTGAACGACGTTGAGAATACTAACTCATTTTTCTGAAACTGTTTATTTCCAAAAACGATCCATTCCAAACCAGAACTAAGTCTTTAGCTGTCATCATCACCACCACAGGGGTGTCACGTGAAAATATAGCGTCTCTGATTGGCTGCAGCCGCTTCAACCGTCTTCGAATTGCTCCGAGT